AAAGGAAAGTTGCTTGAGTTGGAGATAGTTGAACGATGTCGAGTTGTTAATGTTATTTAGAGGTGTCAATTGTTCACACCCGAATAAGACAACTCGTATGTAAACAACTGAAAGCAAGATCAAAGACTTGAACCTACTCTTTACACCTTGAAAAGAATTAAATAGTTGTTAATTGATTGATGTTTTGTTTCGAAAATCCGCTTGACGTTGGATCAAGGGTTTGACTCGTTATCGCGTGCAAAGCGTGCTGAAAATGAAATTATTTGAAAAAAAGAGACCGGCTTGACTTACGCATCAAGGGTCGAGTTGTAATAGGTTGATGGCGAATGCGTATGAGCACTCGACTTACGGGGTTTAAAAATGGCTCGATGATGAATCGAGAATCAATTTGAAAATAGTTTGATCCGCTTTAGTCCCTATGGGTGCTCCTAGGAGATAAACTAATAATCAAAGAAATACGAAACATACATCGGAATGGGAGAGGGGTACATGTAATTTACACGGGATTGCACGAAATAAAGGGGTCTCATTGTCAGGTAGCCCAAGAGAAAGCCGTGTGTGTGCATTTGTGTCCTAAACTACGCCTTGAGAAAAGTCGAGCACAACTCAAAGTTAGGATACCTACAAATGACCAAAGATCCAACAGTCCACCAATTTGGCTTTTAGGAGTTTCGATAATTTATTAGGTATTTTCGAATATGGGTGAATGAATATGAATAATGAGATATGATAATATGAATAATAATATGACAATAATATTCACAATAGTATTTAACGAAAATTAAATTTAATGGTTAGTGAATCAAATCGGGACATGAGAGAATGGATCTCGTCTTAATCGCAAACATAATGCCGATTAATCGAAGGTAGCATATCACGATCCCAAAGTACGGAAAATGACCCCAATGGTCATTCACCATAGATTTGAAATCGAGAAGGTTATCAACTTCGATACGCGACGCTTACGAATAAAAGACTTCATCGATCCAAAAATCGAAATAAAATCGGAGAAATAAAGTGGTCTCGGATCCTTTGTTTCACGCCAATAATTTGACGGTTAAACATTGGTAATCTCGTCATCGACCGGAAAGGCGAAAAATATCCAATAACAAATACGAAGTGAAATCCAACTTCTAATAATAAAAGAATAAACTCTAATATAAATAGAATAGAAATCTAATAGAAAATAAATATAAAATAAATCCTAGAAAATAATATATACATATATAAATAATAATAACAAACTTCTAAATAAAATATATACAAAAATTATCAAAAGAAAATTAATAAAACTTTTTTTTTAAAAAAATAACAAAATATATAAAATATATACAACTTAACAAAATATAATATATTTATATATGCTAAAAAAAACTGTTAGAAAAATAACAATATTTAATATAAATAAACTAACAATATATCAATTACATAAAATAAAAGGGAAGAGGTTAATCATTGAAAATAAGGGGTGAAAATAATGTGAAATATGGTGTGTGTGTGTAATAATCGAGTGGGCTTTGTGGCCCAACAGCAACAATAAATCAGAAAAATAAATAAATAAATAAAAATAATAACTATCTAAAATATTATACCATAAAAAAATAAGTAAAAAATAAAAATAAAAATAAAATAAAAAATAAAACAACGAAAACAGGTCTTCCTCCTCTCGTAAAAACCAGTCCGTCCCCTCTCTCATTCACGCTATCTATGTATTTCTCTCTTTCTACCCAGAAACTTCTCTCTCCGATTTTTGCTCTGTTTACCATTTTCAATTCAACGTTAACTTCTTCTTCATTATTTTTTATTTCTGTTTTGAAAGGGCTAAGGTTGTTGGAGGTTAGGAGAAGGTTTAACGAAAGGTGAGGGTTTGTGAAAAACAGCGGCGGCGGCCGATTCTGGGTTTGAGGTTTGAGATTTCGTATGGGTGGCTGTGAGATATGAAAATGGTGAGTGAAGTTGAAGATTTTGGTGGTTTGAAGGTTCATCTGTCGAAGTTTGTTGGTACTTTGAAGTTTGGGCGATTCTGGGTTTGAGGTTTGAGATTTCGTATGGGTGGCTGTGAGATATGAAAATGGTGAGTGAAGTTGAAGATTTTGGTGGTTTGAAGGTTCATCTGTCGAAGTTTGTTGGTACTTTGAAGTTTGGGTCTTCGCGGTTGCGTTTCGAAATGGCGGAAGGGTAAGTTTGGTGTTCGATTTGAGTGAGGTAGATGATATGGAGTGTGGTCTGAAGGTTAACAGTGGCGTGTTCGGTTGTCGCGTTTCTGGGTGATTTTGGTTTTCGGAAGTTTTCTGGGTTTGAGTTGCGAGTGTTTCTCGGTGGTCGAAAGAGGATTGAAGTTTAATGGTGGATTGGTTTTGATAGAGAAGGGTTGCAAAGAGGGGGTTCTGAACGGTTGTGGATTTCGGGAACAGATGATGGGTTACGGCGTTGGTTGTTTGAAGGAGGTAAGGTTGTAACTGATTTCAATGGTGAGTTTGTTAATGGTGAGTTTGGTTTGCTGTGTGAATGTTGAAGATGATGGAACTGGGTTTTTGCGAAAGAAGATGATGGAGTTTGGGTTTGGTGGCTCGGTAACTTTAGGGTTGTGTCCTTAGGGTTTGGAGGCTGCCCTTTCAGATTAGGGTACTCCCCTATATAAGAAATTTTTTTGAATTATTTATTTATTAATAATATGATGGTTAATTATGCTGACTACTAATTGTCTAACTAAACTAATCTAAAAAATAAACTAACCTAATGACAATATAATCCTAATAAAAAAATAAACTGAAATTTAATAATGATTTTAAAAAAAATAAACCTTAATTAAAAAAAATCTAATAACAAAAAAAAAGTCTAATTTATAGAAACTAATTAAAATAAATCTACTAATAAATAAAATTAACAATAATAAAAAAGAATAATATTAATTAACCTATTTCTATCAATATTAAAAAATAATTAATAAAAAAATAATCTATAAACTAATAATGAAAACAAACCTATTTTAAAATTTATTTTCTATTTTCTAAAAAAAAAAACTAAAACTATTATATTTAAAAAAAAACAATTAAATCTAAATCTAAAATTATAATATTCTATTTAAAATAAAATTATTTACAAAAGTTCTTAAAATAAAATAAAACTCTATTTAACTTCTAATAATAAAAATCCTAAATTAAAATAAAATCCTAATAAAAATCTATTCTAATAATAAAAATTAATTCTAATAACTCTAATAAAATTCTAACAAAATATAATTCTATAATAAAAACTCTATTTAACTCCTAATAATAAAAAAAAAACTAAAAATTATATTTAACCTAAAAGCTATTTCTAAACTATATAATTAAATCTATTTTAAACTCTATTAAATTAATCTAAATGAATAAATAAAAAAAAAAAATTAATTATTAATAATCAAATTAAAATTAAATAATTTTAAAACTATTTCTAATTCTAAATTAGTTCTATTCCATTAAAAATTCTAATTAATTTTAAACTAATTCCTAATAACAATTCTAAAATTACTAACTTAATTCTAAAATCCTAAAATATCTCTAAAATTACTAACTTAATTCTAAAATCCTAAAATATCTCTAAAATTACTAACTTAATTCTAAAATCCTAAAATATCTCTAAAATTACTAACTTAATTCTAAAATCTTAAAATATCTCAAACATTACTAATTTAAATTTAAAATCTTAAAATATCTCTAACATTACTAATTTAAATTTAAAATCCTAAAATATCTCTAAAATAAATCAAATCTAATTAATTCTAAAATCCTAATTCTATTTTCAAGTTCTATTCTATTTGATTCTAAATAACAAAAAGGGATTAAATAATTTTTAAACAAATAAATCTATTCCTAATTCAAATTCTATTTTAATAAAAAATCTATTTAATTCTAATACTAAAAATACACTAAAAACAAATTAATTCTATGCTATAAAAATAATCTATTTCTATTCTAAATAAATAAAAAAACCTATTTAATATTTCTAAAAAAAACAATATTCTACACCTAATTAAATTAGATAAATGCTAAAACAAACATATATACAAAAAATAATTTGCAAGAAAAAAAGAGATTAAAAGAGGATTGTCATTTACGAAAATACCCTTAGGCCACGTGTCACGCTCCTATTTGGCATAAAAAGGTCGAGATTTGAAGAACGCCCAATCAGGAGTGGACACGTGTCTAAACGACATGAAATTAAGTGAAAAATGTAAAATAAAAATACAAAAATATTTACAAAAAAAGACGGTCAAATTTAGGGTATGACAACAGGATGAAGTGATATACAGAGGTAGGACAAATTTGAGGTATGACAATGGTATATGTGACTTTTGTGACCAGAATGAAACTCTAGAACACCTCCTATTTGACTGCAAAACTATAGGCCATGGGAGAAAACCCTAAGCTAGGTAGGGTACAAAAGGAAAGCTACACCACGCAATAAAAAAAAGAAATGACTTATGGGTGAATTGAAAAAGAAAAGCTGGAGAAGAAAGGTGCTCAAGATGATCTTAGCTGAAACAACTTATGAAGTGTGGAGAACTCGAAATAACATATATTTTACTCATAAGAATACTTTTATTATGCGATGTTCTACTCATAAAATCCTAAAGAGGCATATAAACATAAGTAATGACATTCTAGAATAGTTGGTTTAATGTAATTTTCTTGAGCTAACATCCTTCAAAATCGGTTTGTATCAAACACTTTTGGTGAATAAAGTATTTTGTTTTCCAAAAAAAAAATCAATTTATTTTATTAAAAAAATGACAATTAGGTAAAGCGTAACTGGGTTGACGGACTTAATGGGCTTTTTATAAAATTCAGTTAACAAAATCCACTTCTCCTCGATTCAAATCCGCTTAATTAGCACAAAACCACACTCTATTTGAAACCGTCTTCTTCCCACACACGCTTCACACAGAAACAAGGGTTGAACACCTTTTCCCTCCACAAACTCAATCTCTTCACTTTCACTTCCCAAATAACACAACCATGGACGGAGTTAATATCCCTTACAATCCTCGTACTGTCGAAGAAGTCTTTCGGGATTTCAAAGGTCGCAGAACTGCCTTAGTCAAAGCCCTCTCCACTGGTCCGTCTTTTTCTTCCAACTTTCTAAAAAAATTTCTCTTTTTTTGTGCGTAAAATATCAAAACCTAATTTAATTTTTTGTTTCGTGTTCTTCATCAGATGTCGATGAGTTCTTCCGGCAGTGTGATCCCGGTAACATTTACGTTCTTAAAATGTTTATGTTTTTGTGTTGTTTTAATTTCGTAAAAAAACCGTAACAGACGTAGGTTTTCTTAATTTATGTTTTATATTCTATATTGTTTCTTTCGAGGTTTTTTTTTTCTTCTTTCTGTTACGCCCTTTTGTTATTCCGTTTTCACTTTTTCGCAGCTGCATGAGATGTTTCACATAAAATGTATTCAAATTGTAGCATTAGCTTGTATATAGCACTGTTGCATAATGGAATTTGAACCTATGTAGCACGGACTTGGAACGGGACACGACACAAGGACACCTATAATATCAAAACATAGGACACAGACACAGGGACACCGATAATGTCATAGTTCCATAGTTGAAATTGCTTACTGTATTTTGTGTTTTTGGTTAATATAAGTTAGTTAATTTACATGATTTTTTGACGCAGATAAGGAAAACCTTTGTCTTTATGGATCTCCCAGTGAGCAGTGGGAGGTGAATCTGCCAGCTGAGGAAGTGCCGCCGGAGATTCCGGAGCCAGCATTGGGTATTAACTTTGCGAGAGATGGGATGCTAGAAAAGGATTGGCTGTCTTTGGTTGCTGTACACAGTGATGCTTGGTTAATGTCCGTGGCTTTTTATTTCGGTGCTAGGTTTGGATTCAATAAAGCTGATAGGTATTTGTTTTTCTCAACTTTCCACAGTTTCTAATAATTTGAGTTGTCATCTTTCAGTAATATATACTTTTATTGTTTTCTTGCAGGAAGAAGCTATTTGATATGATAAATGATCTTCCAACAATCTTTGAAACTATTACTGGGGTTGTCAAGAAACAAGGAAAGGAAAAGTCGTCATCGGTTTCTAATAATAGCAGTACCAAATCTAAAGTAAACCCCACGGTAAGCAAGCTTGAAAATCAAACTAATCACTGTCCACTGGCAGTTATAATTTTCTAGTTTCATAGGCTTTAGTAGTGTATTATGTTGTTTAGCAGTTAATGATAACATTTAAATCAAAAGTGAAAAATCTGATCAAATTCGATTTGGCCTTAATTAAAAGTTTAAAACTCATTATTCACTTGAGACCAACCACTCGGTTATCTAATAGTCTAGTTTGCGTTATTGTGTCATACGTATAAACCCTGATCGCAGGGGAGGGGACCCGAATCCCTCATTTTGGAGTGCGAAGCTCTTCTATTATTTGGGGTGTTAGTATATACTCATATCTTTTGGAGTGAGAAATTCTGTCTTTTTGTATTTTGAAACGGTATCTTGTTTATGATTGATATAATATTTAATAATTTAAGATTGTTAATTCTTTCGGGTTTACATGTGCAGCAAGATTCTGAACCACAGGCAAATTTTTCAAAACCAATGGCAATGCAAATGCAATCAAAGGAAAATGACGAGGCAAATTTTTCAAAACCAATGGCAATGCAAATGCAATCAAAGGAAAATGTCGAGGCAAATTTTTCAAAACCAATGGCAATGCAAATGCAATCAAAGGAAAATGACGAGGCAAATTTTTCAAAACCAATGGCAATGCAAATGCAACCAAAGGAAAATGACGAGGCAAAATTTTCAAAACCAATGGCAATGCAAATGCAATCAAAGGAAAATGACGAGGATGGTTGTCTAGGCATGGACGAGGAAGACGAGGAAGACGAGGAAGACGTGGAAGATGATGAAGAGCAAGGAGTGACTTTGTGCGGCGCATGCGGAGAGAGCTATACAACTAAGCATTTCTGGATTTGCTGTGACATTTGTGATATGTGGTTTCATGGAAAATGTGTGAAGATTACTCCAGCGAGAGCTGAGCATATCAATAAGTACAAATGTCCATCTTGCAGCAACAAGAGAGCTCGCCCTAGTAGCTTGATATAGGAGTTTGTATAGATCGGTGACTCTAATCTTCTCAGTTTTATGACTACTAATTTGTTCAGTTAATTAGGCTTATAAACTTGCCTTTAATTTTAAGGTATGTTATGTTAGGTAAATACGCCACAATCGAATTATTCAGAATCAGGATATTTATGGCAGAAACAGACTTTGACATAATGTTCTGTCACGTGTTTCCCTAAATTTTAATGTATTCCTCAGTCTTTGTGCATGCAACAAGAACTTGCTTAATCTTAGGTGACCATGGCTGGTGGTCATTGTGTCAATTGTGGTGCGATTTGGTACGTCTGTGCTGCGATGACTCCATGAAATTGGATTGCAATTGGTATATTGGATCGCATTTTTTTCTAGCGAATTTCTTTTTCCACTCTATGTATTTCTTGCACAGTGTGTGGATTTTCACTTATGCCTCCATGGTTTGGAGATGGTTTGGAGATACATCTTCGGACGTATTACACTTCTGAACGTTAATATATTTTAGAGATATATCTCCAGAACTATTTTAAACCTTTAAACCTTAAACGCTCAGAGCATGTCTCCCATAACCCATTTTCATTTGAATATTTCAGAGATGCATCTTGGGAGTTTTTCAGAGATATATCTTCGAAGTGTATCTGAACAGGTTTGTTTTATAACGCGCTGTGTATTTGTTTTCAGAGGAATTATGAAGCAAGATTTCGAATTAAATAATAGACATACAAAATAATATAGCAATATAATAGTAAAATATTGAACATCACGAAATTCAAAAAGTAGTAACAATCTTAGAAATAAAGTACAAATTATAATACAACATCAAAATAATAACAAGCTACTACTGGGTGCCACTGACAACCTCTTCTCTTCCTCCTCTGCCTCTTCGTCCATCGATACCTCCCGTCCTCGCACGATGCCTGCGGTATAACAGCGTCCTTGTGCCTCTGCAAGAATGTCATCTAGTACTCGTCTGACAGTAGACCCCTCAGAGACGATACCCTCGTCAATGCCTGTCCGCACAATCTCCACAATGCGAAGACAACGCGGAAAGACATCCTCAGTATGATCTAGTTGAACCTGCTGCTCCTCTACAATCTTCTAATGAGCTGGTCTCAACGGATCTCCTGGAGCAGTCGACACCGTGTACGGATGTGAGACTCTGAAGAACCACCTGATGTATTCGTCGGCGTAGCTCCAGTCATTCGGCGCTATGGTAGCCAGGGCCTCCTCCGATAACAAATGACTCTGATAATCAGCAAACATCTCCTCTATCTGTATACGAGTAAGGCAGGAGAAGCAGATACAACAGGGTGTCTGGGAATGGTCTGAGTGTGTTTGCCGTGAAAATTGATGAACAACCGTCAGTCTTACAAATAGAAAAAGATTTGTCTTACTTGCAGGATCGACCACGCAAATCCTAGGACATGTGCTAAATGATCTTAAACAAAGTTTAAAAAGACGATGAACACTTCGACAGAGTTCATGATAAAATAACTTATTTCAAGTGTAAACGGAATTGAACCCGAAAGAGTAAAATCGAAGTATTGGTAAATGATGAACATAATAATTTGCATAAAGAAAGGATAAATTCTTAATGAAAAAGATTTATTAAATTGCATTGAAATGTAAAATTGGTGTTACATCAACGTACATTCTCACAACTCGTTTCTCTACACACGGGTACTTGGAGTATACTGAAGAATTTGTACACAATTGAACACACATTAATCCTAACACTAAGACTTACTATTTATACTAATAGAAAATAACTGCCATTAATGGCTAGTAAACTAAATCGAGACAAGTGGCGCTCTGCATGTCTTCGATTCCTATAAGCGCTCCACGTGTCTTCTTTGAGAAATGGATGAAAACGAACTTCCCCTCCTTTATTTGAATTCAAATCTTCCTGTCAAAATGTCTTCAGTAGCACCTCTGTCGAATCGAATCTTCCAACTGCTAATAAATATTTCTAAGTCCATAAAATAGATTCTCCTGGAAAAAGGACGCCTTCGACTCACATTCTAAAAATATGGCTCCAGTCGAAGTCATAAATTTCTTCAAAAACTCTATTACTTACTTTTAATCCCATTCAGTCGTCAAAATTAAGAGTCAACAGGGTGTACCCGAACTGCTGCATGACGCGCTCGGGCAGATGAGAAGTAGCGATACACGATATGCAGGCCAACCATCTAGAGTATATAGATATGTCGTCAAATGGAGGCTGACGGTGATCAACATAGTAGTTGAAGTGGATGTCCTTAGCAACCAAGTGGTCAAGATAGACTCTAAAATGCTCGATCGTCTGGTTCCTTCTCAGTGGGATAAAGCACAGGCGCGAGACATCTCCTTTGTGCATTCATCCTAACACGCCCAGCCAGCGATGCGCGGGATGTGCTGGAGGATCCAAGCCTCGAATGAAACTAAAAAGTATTCAGTGATCAAGAATTATCAGAACATGAAATGAAAAAGATTAAAAAAAAATTCAAGGATAAAAAATTATTACCATCAGTAGTGTCGTGCTGCCTGTGACCTGCTTCGTCCTTCATCGACATCCATGTCTCCACTTCGAATATAGATAGGCTAGGAAATCCGCCCCTAATTGTACTCATGAATTCGTTTGAGATCCAAGAAATACTAGAAGTATGCAACATCAGTACAAGTGACATTCGTGTCCACAAAAATGCAAGTGCCAACTAAAAAAAAAAGGAAAATATGCCTTCAAAGCATGAGTCAAGTGTAAGGCCACCTGTTCAACATCACCATCATCCTGTTGTGCAACAACAATCTCATCATCATATATCTTCTTCAGGAACTCAAACCTAGCATGAATACCCCTGGTCTTATCCACCTCCACAATCTCATCCCTTGGATCAGCCCCCAGATGCGCCACCATCATCTCGACCGCCTCGTCTTTGGTCATCCTACCATGATGGAGGAATATCCCCCTGATCGAAAGATGCAACAAAGACGAGACATTATCCAGTGTGATAGATATCTTGCCATTTGGGAGATGAAAAGAAGACGTCTCACAATGCCATCTCTCCACGAATGCATTAAGCATCATGTGGTTGACCAGACTGTAACCAGTCATACATAGGCCACTTAACCCAGAAGCGGCCAGAACCGATTGAAACCACTGCTCATTCGACTGATGCAATGCTAAAATCTTCCTCCCATAGTTCAGAAACTTTCAAGGATCACGCACCTGCGATTTTTTAGAAATCATCAATGTCAGTAACAATCAATGTTAAAATAATCAATGTCAGCAATGTAAAATAATGTTAAAAAATAATTCCAAAATCAGACTAATGTCACTTCTCCGTCCCAAATATGTCTGGTAGTGTGGCCTGGATATAGAGAAAGTAGAGACATATTAGATGAACCCCCTTCGAATCCCTCCGACTCGACATTAGCAATCTCACCCTCCGGAGTGCCACCCCATCAGCAAGATCATCAACGGGAGGTGGCACCGGATCAACAGGAGGTGACACTGGTGCATCCCGACGCCTGCAGGAGGAAGGGGAAGTGACACGTCAGCTGGTGCATCTCGTCTTCTACTGGAAGAAGAAGAAGAAAGTGGAGTGGTCTGAGATGAAGATGAAGTGACCTGAGATGAAGGTCTAGTGGTCTGAGGTGTAGACTGAGCCCCAAGAGTAAACTACGCCTCAGAAGTCGACACCTCTACATGAACAGATGTGCCTGCTACCTTTGGAACCTACTGGCTTCGTTCTCGCCGAACGAATGCATGTTGGGAAACCCGTCCAAGTCTCAGTTAATCGAATTTGTCAACATTGTGTCTGCAAGGTAAAATTAGGTAGGTACAATTAGGCATATAACAAAAATAAGAAAATTATAAAAAAGAAAAAAAAACAGACTGAGGAAATTCCGGAGATATATCTACAGAAATACCTCTTACACTATTTCGGAGATGTATCTCTGGAATATTCCAAAGCATATGAAACGTTGAACGTTTTTGGAGATGTATCTCTGTAATATTATGAAATTAGAGGTCACGACAATGGTCTCATTTGCTACTTGGAATGTGAAAGATAATAACCTGCTAATCCATTTAAACCAACAAGCAATGCATACAATTACTCTAAATTATGTTTCATGTGATTTCTAAACATTTCTACACCTAACAATTGATGCTAACTCATTTACAACAAAAAATGAATATTTACTGAAAACTCGAAAAACTTACCAAAATTTATGATTTGGAAGATGTTGAATGCTGAAATTGATTATGCTTAATATTTCCTTGATTCTGCTATTGATAAAATCTTAGTTGGTGAAAAATGGAGAATATTGAGAATGTGAAAGTGGAAGAGTTTGTTTGAATGAAAAATGAAAAGTGTGGGAGAAGAAGAGTCTGACGCGGTATTAACCTCCAAAATGTTCCAGAGGTATATCTCCGAAATATGGTAAAATTCACTTGAGTTTTGGTGCGTCCGGAGATATATCTCTGAAATCAAGGGTCATATGTGGAAATTCACATGGTGTGGAAGAAGTCTGTGGGGTGGAAAAAGAAATTCTCTTTCTCTAAGTCTATAAATAGCATACACAATTCATTTGTTTACGACACTGTTCTTCTACGAAAACTTTGCTTAAAGCCTCCCTGAACACCAGATATTCTTCCTCCTTTCATCTTCATCTCAATTCTTCCATACCACCAATATCAAATGGGCTCCTAAAAGGGGCATATCATCAAAATCCGGTGCTTTTTCTAGTGGGATTGTGTCTTTACCATCCCAACAATCATTTTATTTTATAATTTTGCAGTTAAAATACCCAGATCAAAAGGTTCCAACTGATCAAAATGTAAATGCGCGAAGACGCCAAAAAATAAAATGAGCATATTAGATTAAATTACGTGTAATATAGATCAATAAAACAATCAAACAAAAAATTGCATAGTCAAACTTGAAAACAACGTTCACTGATTTTATGCACGATTAAGAAATTGATCAACCAGTCTGCATGTAAAATCGAAATTTTATTATGAATAA